CTGATTTTTCAGCAAAGAGAAGAGAATGGAATCTGAAATCTATAGATGTCAGCAAGCTTGACTTTGATCCCTTGCAAAATTCTAGGACATATTATAAAGTAATGATTAATGAAAAACTAGAAAATGAAGCAGTTATAGAAAAAGGGAAGCATGATTCCATCAAGAACAAGGTAGCTAGATGGTATGATGGATAGAGCACTGCACTTGAGTCAGAAGACCTGGGTTCAATTTTAACCTCAAACACTCATTGGCTGTGTGACCCCACATAAGACACTTAACCTCTGTCTGCCTCAATTTTCTCATCTGCAAAATGGAGATAATAATTGCACCTATTTCCTAGGATTGTTTTAAGGATAAAATGAGATAGTATTTATAAAGAGTTTTCCAAAAACTCTGAAACCCTATATAAATGTCCGTTGTTGTTGTTGTTGTTGTCATGTCAAAGTAATCTTACTTCATTTTTTACCACATTGCCAGACTCTTAGATCAGGAGAATCCTATAATTTTAGCTAATCATTTCATAATAACAATAGCTGACATTTATATAGTTGAGTATTTATGGTTTACAAAATATACATAATACATTATCATAATAAAATATACATCATCCCATTTGATTGCCACAGTAACCCTTTGAGGTAAGTACTACAGGTATAATTTTCATTTTACAGATGAGGAAGCTAAGAATGAGAGACTTTGGGTGACTTACCTAGGGTCACACAGCTAGTAAATGGCTGGTGTAGAATTTGAATACAGCTGTTCTTGACTCCAAGTATACCCTCTATCCTTTTCCACCTCTCCATCTTTTCCATAAGAAAAGCATGTTATACTTTACCAAATACCTTGCTAAAAATCTAGTTTAATTACAAGTACAACATTTTCCCCACGTAGACTTTGTAGAATTGTGGGTTCAGAACTGCTTGAATGACTAAATCCACTAATGGCTTGATGTCATCTTGGAAGAAGGGCTCCAGTGACATGACCCAGGGGTAGACAGTGAGGGGAGGAAGGGCAATACAAGCAGCTCCAGCCCTACTCTGCCTTGGGCAGACCACATGTGGAATATTGTCCTCAGCACTGGTACTACATTTTAGGGAAGACTTTGATGATCTGGACTGCATCTCCAGAAGAACAGTCAGGATGATAAAGGAGACCATAGGAGGAATGGTTGAAGGAGCTAGAAATGTTTAGCCTAGGCAAGACTTAGGAGGGACGGGACGGCTTTCTTCAAGTATTTGAATGGCTTGTTCTGGAAGATGGAAGATTAATTCTGCTTAGTCCTAGAGGGCAAAACTAAAAGAAATAGGTAGAATTTGCAGAGATAGATTTTGGTTCAATTTAAAGGGAAAATTCCTAACAATTAGAATGATCCAAAAGGAGGGTGGGCTATCATGGAGGTAGTGAATTTCCACTCAGTGGACATCTTCAAAGCAAATGCTAAATAACGGCTTGTCAGACTAAGAATATGCTAGCCCTCTGCTCCAATGTGAGGTAGGCTAGTTTTTACTTAAAAGGTATTGAAACCATCCTCAAGACTTACTTGGCTCAGGGGACTAAGAGCTTAGGCTGTTGACATCATTTCCTAATCATTTACATACAAAACAGCCACAAGGAACTCTAGAAACAGGCTGCTGCTTGGCTGGCAGGCCCTAATGGGCAATTGATGGGGGGGGGGGTGGAAGGAGGGAGTCTTTGCTCAGCTGGCTGGGAGTGTCCTCAAGGTATAACCTTGTTGAATATCATTTTCCTGCCATGGATAAATAGATCTCCTTTTGCTAACTGTTGAATGGCTTCTGAGTATCTTGTTTCATTCCTAAACTAAAAAGGGACTGGTCTGAATGAGGCCCGGTCCAGAACAGATACAGAGAAGTTTCTCATTCCATTAGACTTGAACTCAGGTCCTCCTGACTCCAGGGCTGGTACTTATCCACTGTGCCACCTAGCTGCCCCCCTTTACCCAAGTTCTTATACAAGAAGATCCAAAAAAGAGTCTATCCTGTTCTATACCCCCAAGGCTAATGATAAACTAGCATAGTAGATGGAAGGGAACAGGCATTTATTAAGTGCCTACTATGTGCTAGGCACTGTGCTAAATGCTTTACAAGTATTATTTCATTTGATCTTCACAAAAACTGTGGGAGGTAGATTCTATTATTTCCCCAGTTGAAGAAACTGAGGCAGACAGTTTAAGTGCCCAGGGTCACAGAGCTAGAAAGTATGAAAGAGATCAAGCTTTTTAAAAATAATTATTAAACTTCTCTTTTTGTGCCCTTCCCTCATGTTCTGGTTACTCTTCACACAAAGTTCCTAGATGCTCAGTGTCCCATATTGACTTAAATGTCCCACTGTAGCCTCCTAAGCCCTCCAAAAAACCCAATGCCTACAGATTACCCATTTTCTTAACCCTTAGTCAAAATTCCTAGTGGTATTGTGAATGGGGCACTGGACTCAGAGTCAGAAAGAGATGGGTTACAATCCCACCTCAGATACTTAATAGCTCTGTGATTCTGGACAAGTCATTTAATTTCTCTGTACCTTAGCTTTTACATGTAAAATGAGGAGATTGGACATTTGGCATCCAAAGTCTCTTATAACTCCAAATATAGCATCCTATGATCCTTCAGTGTAGTTAATTACAAGGAGAGCTAGATGGACCAAACATGAAGAGACCTAGTTTCTAGTCCTGGCTTTATCACTAACTGTAGTTCCCTGTACCAGTAAGCCTATCTCCCTGGCCTCAGTTTCCTTGTTTGAGTGAGGTAGGACTAGATGATTGTCTACTCAAGTTGCTATAATTCTGCAATCTTAGGATCTGGGAGAGAGGGTGGGGGAGAAGACAGGAAGTCTGATTGGCACTGATCAGGACACTATCCTTTGTCTGGCCCATAGCTCTGTCCTTGGTCCTGCTCTCTGTGCCAGTGCTTAGCATAATGCCTGGCACAGAATAAGCCCCTAATAAATGTCTGCTGACTGACTAACTGTCCTATTCAATATTTATTTAAGCTACTTAGAAATAGAATAAAATAACAAAATTTGAGATTACCAAGAAGCTGGAAGAAAACTAATAAATGGGATGCAACAGAATTAGAAATAAAAATCTTAATAGGTATAACAATGAATCCAAAGTAATAATATGAAAAATGTAAAGTTTGACATTTGGGTTAAAAAAATCAGCTATACTAGTATGAGATGATGAGACCTGTTCTAACAGCTGTTGAAGTAAAAGTGCCCCCCGGCAGTTTAGATGAAGCTACATATGAGTAACAATATGACATAGCTGCCAAAAAGGCTAATAAAATATTGTTGTTGTTCAGTCATGCCTGACTCTTCTTGATCCCATGGACCATAGCATGCCAATACCATCCATGGTGTTTCCTTGGCAAAGATACTGGAGTGATTTGAAATTTCCCTTTCTGGTAGATTAAGGCAAATGGGTAAAATGACTTGCCCAGGGTCACACAACTAGTAAGTATCTGAGGCCGGATTTGAATTCAGATCTTCTTGATTGCAGGCGGCCCAGCACTCTATCCACTGAGCCATCTAGCTTCCTCTTAGTAAAATATTAGACTACATTAAGACAAGTAGAGGAATATCCCCACACAATGGCATTAATTTGATTAAGAAAAAATACTAAGGGGCAGCTAGGTGGCACAGTGGATAAAGCATCAGCCCTGAAGTCAGGAGAACCTGAGTTCAAATCCAGCCTCAGACCAAACACTTGACACTAGCTGTGTGACCCTGGGCAAGTCACTTAACCCCAATTGCCTAAAAACAAACACAAAACACAAAAAAATACCATATTAAAATGTTAGATAAAACACCATTAATTAGTTCCATGGGCACAATATTTTGGGGCATCCAGTAAGCAATATAGTGATGATCCCTGTGGGAGTTAACCCTCTTTGGACTTATAAGCTAACTCGTTTTTATAGACCATCTGATTGGTTGAATGGCTACAGATTTACATCAAGATTTTGTGAAGTTATATTTATAATGCATTAATGATGTTCTTATAATATGAGAGCATGGTGTAGTATATAGCTAACCAGTCTTAGAATCAGGAAGATGTGGGTTCGAGTCCTGCCTCATAGACATAATAACTATGTGATCATGAGCAAAACATTTAATCTCTCAGTTCCCACCACCAGGTTATTCTCTGAGACTATGGGTTGCAAAAAACAAAATTGGGGAGGAGGGGTGTTTCCTCACTGGGAGGCCCCTATGCCAGTGAAATCAGACTCCCCCAAAACTCATCACATTGTTGTAAAGTGGTGGTTCAGGCCACAGTTTGCACATGTTCCTATATACAACGTCCAGAGCAAAGGGGATTATAGTCCCACAGAGCAGACAATGTCTGGAACACTGGGCTCAGTTCTGGGTGACGCATTTTAAAGGACTGGGTGGAGTCTAGAGGAGGATCATGGGGGTGACTTAGCATCTAGTAATTATGTGGGGCAAAGAGTGATTGAAGAAGCTTAAGTATTTTTAATTTATTAAAAAAGGCTTAAGGGCATGTGATATCGGTTTTCAAATATTTGAAGGGCTGTCATATGGAAGAGGAATTAGCTTTGAATCTCTTTGTCCTTGTTCTCTTTTTTACTCCCCTCCCCCATATTCATTCTTCATTGCTCCAGAGGACATAATCAGGACCAAATGGGCAGAAGTTAAAAAGAGGCAAATTTTTGGCTCAATATAACTTTCTTACAGTTTAAAGTATGCCTGAGTAAAGTAGGATAGCCTTCTCCCTTAGGTAGTGAGTTCCTTGACGCTAAAAGTATTTAAACAAAAGCTGACTGGCTGACCACTTGCCAGAGATGTCAAGGAGGGGATTCATGCTTCATGGTGGGGTTGGGGTCAATGACCTTTAAGGCCTCTTACAACTGTGAGAGTCTCTCTGATACTACTGGGCTTAATAGGATTCTCTCTATTGACTTTTAAAACTTGAAAATGTTTTTTATATTACTGTAAAACATTTTCCTAACACGAAGATCACATTACAGAAAATCTTGTCAGAAGTTGAAAAAGACCTGAACAAGTCTCAGCCTGAATCTGCTCCCAAAACCAAAGGAAAGAGAATGGTTATTCAGGAAATAGAGGATTCAGAGGATGAAGATGGAAAAAGAAGTGGAGAACATGAAAATGGCAGTGGAGATAAGAGTAAAATATCATTTCTTCAATTGTTCTATGAGAAAAAATACCATTTAAAGAATTTAGGCTGGTTACATTTTTCAGTTTTTATGGAAAAGGACATGGGATTCCCCAGGTTCATTTCAGCCATACTTTTTGTTCTGAAAATTACTTTTCAGGTCATTCTCTAAATTATTATTATTTGTTTTACTTTTTCCAATTCTTCCAAACCTCCCCATTTTGTTGTTCTTCCCATTACTTTCACTCCTGAACATCAGATCTTTTAGATGAAACTGTGACTGTGCCATTTTAATACCATAATTTGCAAGTAAAACAAAAATTTCGGTCTTAAATGAGAGTTTATGACCATTTGCTTAGTGGCAAATAGAGGAATTGACTAGAAAATGGAAAAAAAGATTGTGTGGATAGCCTCATATACATCTTTAAACTGGGTGAATCAATGAAGCATAGTATTTTTTGCCTCTTTAAAAAGTTCTGCTTTCAAAAATAAAAGATCTCAAAGAGAAGCAATGTGGAAAAAGTTCTATTTCCAAAAATAAATTAGGGATCCCAAAGAGAGGCAGTGAAACTTGACCAAGGTTATACGGCTAGTAAGAAGCAGAGCTAGACATGAGCCATTCTCCTCCGAGTCCATCTCCCTGGTCTCTGACAGCTGTGCTATTTCTACCCTACCCCAATAAACTGGCTTCAAAACCTGGATCTGACACATGTGACCCTGATTAAGTGGGCCTCAGGAAAATGTGGTTAACACTACTGCACAAGATTGATGAGGAAAGTCTTGGTAAATCTTAAATCACCATATAGGTGAGTTATTATAAGATATAAACTCAGTTTGTAGGAGTTAAAGTACTTCTTAAAACAAAAATAATCTTTAGTAAATAAAAGCTAGGTGCTGCCAAGTGGATGGAATACTAGGCCTGAAGCAAAATACCTGAGAACCACCTTAGGCACTTACTAGTTGTGTGACCCTGGGCAAGTCAGATAACATCATTTTGGTTTGCTTCAGTCTCCTCAAATGTAAAATGGTGATAATAATAACATACCTCTCAGGGATGTCGTAAGGATCCAATGAGGTAAACTTGTAAAGCACTAAGCACAGTACATAGCACTCAGTAGGCACTGAATAAATCTTTCTGTCCCTTTTTTCCTTCCTTCCTCCCTTCTTCCCATCTTCCCTTCCTCCCTCCCTTCCTTCTTTCTTTCTTTCTTTTCCTTCCTTCCTCCTCCCACCTCCTTCAAAATGTAAACTGAAAGGAAAAAAGGGAAAAATAACAACATGTGTTTCCTAACTTCTAGGGCAAGGTTGGAGGACGTTTTTTTTTTTAAACATTGAGGGCAACCAACCCACAGAAAAACAATCTCTAATTGTAATGAGCTACAAAGAATATAAACCTTCGTTTAATAAATGCAACAAATAAAGTTAAAATCCTTCAGTTTCGTATTATGGCTTAGTAAGATAGTAAGAAATAGAAAAAGAGAAAGATGAAAGACAGGAAGGGAAAGGGAGAACAGGAGAGAAAGAGAGAACCAAAGTGAAAGGAACGAGTGAGGGGGCCAGTATCTTCTCTCTGGAGACCTCACTCTCGGCAGCCTCCTTCTCATCCCCCGCCCCTGCCTACAAGGAGTCTGGTCTTAATTCCACTCCCCTTCAACTTCCAGCAGCTTAAACCCTCTTGGTGCATGCTGGAACAGTAGTTCCGCGAATGCATCTCTCCTTCCTCAGGCAGCCCTGGCTGGCTGCAGACTTGAGAACCCCGCTTAGTGCTTTCTCTGACTCTGAGAGTGCCCCTCGTTAGTGACACGGACTCTCTTTCATTGCACGTAGCTGTATTTGATCATTTCTTAAGGAGTCGAAAGAAACGAGAAGATACTTGATTCTAGAGAACTTGATACAGGCTGGATGAAATTAAGCTGAGGGGCAGACACATCTGAAAGACCAGAAGCTTCCCATTCCTGTGGCAGCGTTCCGGAGCGCCGGGGTGCTCGGAGGACCTGTGGGTCAATCAAGCGTATTTATTAAGCCGCCGCTGTGTGGTGGGCAGTATTCTAGGAGCTGAGGATATAAAACCAAAAAAGGAAACAGTGTTTTCCTTCTCTTCAGCTGCTTAACAGTTGAATACAAAGCTTGGTCCTTCTCAGATAAATTGGGGTGGGGGGGGAGGGAAATCACTTTTTTTTTTGCACACGGAGTAAGATTGGCTGGTTGTTGAGGGATGAACCTTTGGGTTAGCTCTGCGGTTCATCGTTCACTATGTTTGTTGTTTGTTTACTTCTCCTGAGCCTGCTAAGAGCCTTCCCACATCTTTGTTTTCTCTTTTGTGATGGCAGTTCATAAACTAGGTCATCAATGATCCCCTCTTTAGGAAGAGAGGGTATTAAAACTTGCCTCTAGGGCTTTACACCGAATCTTAAGAAAGCATAATTCTCTTGAGAAGGTTAACACATTTTTCCTCTGGCTTCAGCGGGGCCACATGAACAGAGCTTTGCTCATAATTTCCAGAGTTTTATAAGACAAAAATCAGAAACTGACAGGCTTATTGGAGATGGAACAATTAAGTAACAATGCAGAGCAGTATTTCATTAAATGCTGGAATGAGTGGCAGAGACAGTAAATAAAGAGTATAGGAAAGGGAGAAATCACCATGGGCTTGGAGTGGTCAGGGGAGGTCTCCTACAAGAGGGGGCTAGGATTTGGATAAGCAAAGGGATGAGAGAAAGACATTCTAGGGTGGGGGAGTAACAGGAGCAAAGATCTGGAGTAAAGGGGCCAGGGACAAGACTGACCAAGTGGGTGTGGAGCTTAGATAGGTAGGTAGGTAGGGTGCCAGACAGATGAGTTTGAACTTTATCTTGAGAGCCATCCGGTGGGGCATTCCTAAGCAAGAGGATGACATAAAGGAATTGGATTTTATTTGGCTTGGGTGTGTAATATGTATTGAGAGGGAAGGGACTGGAGGCCAAAAGACAAGTTGGGAGGCTCTTGCTGTACACGAAGACACTAGAGTGGTGGCAAGGAAGAGAAAAGAAGACGTGAAGGCTGGGTTTCCACCAGTACTAATTGTGTCTCCACCCACCCTGACTATATTAGTTTGGGTAGATGCATGGGTAGGAGAAGCCAAGTCAAGGATACCAGAGCTGCCTTATATTTAGGGCCCATAATGATACCCTTTAAATGATGGAGACCAAATCATACGCTTATACTTAATTGGACCTCAGTGCCAGGTGCTTGGTAGGTGCTTAATAAATGCTTCTTGATTGATTGACCATAAAGGAAACATTATTTGGTGATGTGTTTTTAAATTGAGTAAGTGACCTTTCACTGATTCCTCAAGAGAATAAGTTTTAATTACAAAATGAAACCCAACTCAGGATGCTAAATGTTTCCTATTACCCTAATTCATTCAATCTCTGCCTTCCATATATTGGTTTCATTACCTACAAAACACATTGAATGATGTTTCTAGTCAAAATTACAAATTAGGTCTTTGCTTTGAAGCAAACCAATCATCACATAAGCCAAGTGTAACATTATATGTAATACTACACTTTAAGTTTTGCAGTTAGGTTGTTGTTCAGTCATTTTTCAGCTGTGGTCAACTCTTTGTGATCCTATTTGGGGGTTTTTTGGGCAACAATACTGAAGCAGTTTGCCATTTCCTTCTCTAGTTCATTTGACATATGAGGAAACTAAGGCAAACAGGGTTAAAAGACTCGGCCAGGGTCACACAGCTAGTAAGTGTCTGAGGCCAGATTTGAATTCAGGAAAATGAGTCTTCCTGACTTCAGGCCCAGCACTCTATCCACTGTGCCACCTAGCTGAAGTTAGGTAAGGCCTAATAATTCAATTTTAAATAATTCTAGTTAGAGAGGTTTTTTTCATATAGTCATAGTCTGAGGTTAACACCACTAACTTATTTAGCATTCCTCAAATATTTCCTTCAAACATTTCTATAGTGAGATTGATGGAAAGTTGAGAAATCTTTTCTAGACCTGAATATTTTTCTCTGAGAAGAGTTGTAGATTCAGAGCTGTAGTGGCTACTGGAAATCATCCACTTCATTCTATAGATGAGGAGACAAATGAGGTGTCCAAGTTCATACAGGTAGGAATAGCAGAAGTGGGATTTGAAAACAGCTTTTCTAGCTCCAAATATAGCCTTCTATTATACTATCATGCCTCCAGACAGGTCTCAGGAAACAGGGGGACAGGATTTGGATAGCTAAATGTGCAAGAGAAGGGTATCCTATGTGGGGGAAACATATTCTAACCTAAGGGGGACCAATAACGTAATGACTATTAACTATGGATTGATCACATTTTAAAAATTGAAAATACTCTTTCATGGACCCTCTATTTAATAACTTATGAAAAAAACATTTATTGACTAATATGAAAATATGTTTGACATGATTGCACATGTATAACCTATATCAGATTGCTTACTGTCTCAGGGAGGGGTCAGGGGAACGAGGGAAGGACAGAATTTGGAACTTAAAACTTAAAAAAAAAACCCTAATATTAAAAATTGTTTTTACATGTAATGGGAGGAGGGGGGAATAAAACATCATTTTTTTAAAAAGAAGGAAAACATTTATGATGTACTGTGTCTACTGATACAGTGTTTGTATCATTATACACTGATGTAAAATATACAGTATACTCATTTTAAAAATAAGATGATGCTAAAGTCATAAAAGGCCAGCATGCTTTAGAAGTGATTAGTACATGTTATCTCTCTTTTTTTTTTCACTTTTAGGCAATTGGGGTTAACTTGCCCAGGGTCACAGAGCTAGTGGGTGTCAAGTGTTTGGTCTAAGGTCACATTTGAACTCAGGTCCTCCTGACTTCAGGGCCGGTGCTCTATCCACTGCCCTACATGTTATCTCTTAATCACAATACAAGGAAAATGCAAATATGAAGAGGGCTATCGAAAAGAACACAAGCACAAAACCTAACCTAGAGCCATTTAAAGTTAAATCCAGTGTGGTTTAGTGGGTAAAGTGCTAGACTTGGAGTCAGGGTGATCCATATTCACTCTGCCTCTGTCATTCTCTGGATCATCATGAGCCATTCCTTGAACCTCAAGTGACTCTGAGATTTATCAACTGAGGCTGGTTTTAATCTGTATCAGTAGAGGGCGTTCCCACTACTGACACGCCAAAGAGCCTAGAAATATTGGTACATATTTTAAATATTTTATGCTTGAAAATTTCAATGAGCTACCATTTCTTTTTCAAGAAAATCATTTAAAAATAATTCATTAATCAAACCTGATTTTATTTTCATCTTTTACAAATGAACATGGTCTGTAATGGGAGAAAGCAAGTAGAGAACGTGTATAATTTTGATGTTATCTAAAAGTTCTTTGTCATTAATAATATTTTTACTGTTAAAACTGAGTCATTAATTCATAAAATATTATTGAAAGGAAAAACAATATTATTGTTGCATATATTGTTTAAGCAATTTGACAGGTAGTTAATTGATAGTGAAAAAGCTGAATCCTAGTGACTCATTCCCCATATCGTTATTTAATTAATTCTCCTGTATTTAAAGAGTTAATGTTGCCGGACACAAACCTACAATTCAGTAGCACAAGGCTGGAGGCCCTGCGGAGAAACAGGGGTGGCAAAGAGAGAGCAGCCCTGACTGTAACACCTTCTTAGTGTAGAATACGCTTTCACTTCCTAGGCCTTTGTCTGGCATCTTCAGGTACATGTTTTTGGTCCCAATTTTCCTCAAAAAACCGACTGCCCAATTCCCTGGGGCTCGGTTCCTGACTGGTAACACCCCTCCATTGTGTTCACGGTAGTTTCTTCTGATGATGCAAACTCTAACCTCCTTAATCAACTTCCTTATAGAAACCGATGTGCCCGTGAGAGGAGAGCAGAGAAGTGACCAGCCTGAAATGGGAAATGTGCAGAATAAGTTTACTGGCAAAGGCAATGGGAAAAAGTCCCGAGGAAAGCAGGCCCAGAAGTGCAGAGATCGCGCCGTGAGTGGAGCCACCTCCCAGGGACAGAACTCCAAGCCTTCACCCAGACTCGGAGGGGAAGTGAATGGCCATCTCGAGAGTGACAAAAAAACCGCAGGTGGGAGCGGGGGGGCCAAGGAGGTCGCCAGACCTGGACCAGCTCCCTCTCCTCTGCCCCTTCCCGCCGCCACCGCCGCAGACCTGAAAAGCCAAGGGAATGAGCTCTTCAGGAACGGGCAGTTTGGGGAGGCAGTGCTTAAATACTCACAGGCAGTGGAAAAACTCCAGGGTTTAGGTGAGTTGTCATGTGATTTGACTTTGTTTGACAAACAAAACCTGCAATTGCTGCTAGTTTTATTTGCTGGAATCACAGTATAAAAATCTAAGCCCAACCCTTTTGAGTGACAGGAATTTGCCGTCTGTAAATTCCTTTGTAATGAATAATGATGGCATGATCTGATTTATGAGTGATAACTGGCAAGGAATAGGAAGTTACTTGAAATGTTGCACTGAAGGAGTCCTGTTTGTATTGATTTACATGTTGTGATTGCTGATTTTGTGATGGCTGTGTCGGAAATAAAGGGTAGCCCCTGGAAGCTTTGCACTGTCAGCAAAAAGTAGTAAGTACTGCAGTGCAACCAGAAGCTACAGGAGGCTTTGAATACTAAGGGAAAAGGGTTTTGATAATTAATTTAAACTCTATTTATGTATGACTTTAGGAAGTGAAAGTGCCGATGAACTAAGTGTCTTATACTCCAATAGAGCAGCATGTTACCTAAAGGAAGGCAACTGCAGTGGCTGCGTTGAAGATTGTAACAGGTAAATTACACCCTTTGAGGCGTGGAGGAGATTGTTTGGTTTCAGCATTTTGAAGTTTTTTTGTTTTGTTTTGGTTTTTTATCTTTCTTGATAAGGATCTAATTTGGCTAGGAACGTAGCCGACTTGATAGGTAATAAGGAAGCACTCCTTAGTTTTTTGAGCAGGTAAATGATGGAACAAAAGGGTGGTTTAGTAAACATTAATCTGGAGGCAATGCAAAGCATGAATTGAATAAGGAAGAATCTGGTGACCCAAATACCAGTGAAAAGGCTGTTATTGTAGTCAAGATTTGATTTTTGTGAGGTATTTGGGGTTAAGGGACTTGCCCAGGGTCACACAGCTAGTAAGTGTACAGCGTGTGAGGCCCAGTTTGAACTTAGCTCTCTTGACTCCAGGCCTGGTGCTTGATCCACTGTACCACCCCTTATAACTGCCCCTTATAGCCTAGCTTTGAAATAAGGGTGAGTGTGTATATTGTGCATATGTAGCGAATCTTGTATCTACAGTTTTTGCCTAGATTGCTTACTATTAGAGACTCCGTTCTAGCCTCCCTGCCTTAAGACTTATCCCCATTGGATCTGTCCCGAACACTTCATCCAGATTAATCTTCCCAAAGCATCATTTTGATCAAGTGCTGTAATAAAAAGAGGGTTTAAAGTCCTTAGGCCTGGGTTTGGTTTAGCCCTGGTTTAGCACTGCTACTATTGCTACTACCTATGTCACCATTTAACCTTTCTGGCCCAAGTTTTTATATCTGCAAAACTAGGGAGTTGTACTAGATGGGGGTGGAGAACATGTGGCCTCGAGGCTGCAGGTCCCCCCCCACACACCCTGTACTAGATTATCTTTAAATTTCTCTTCTATTCCCTTCTGAATCTGGTGATTCTAGAATTATGCCATTCACTTGCTCAAAAACGTATCATGTGATACAGTCAGCTTTTTACTATAGCTATTTGTATACATGTTTTCACGTCTTTAGATTGTAAGGTTCTGGAGGTCAGTCATACCATTTAAACTTTGTGCTCTTTATAATTGTTGGCGCTGTGGTGTGTATGAAGTTGAAACAGAAATAAATACGAAAAGATAGAAAAGTAGATACAAAAATAAATATTTGTTGAACACATGAGGATAATGTGACTTAAATACCTTAATATAGTAAAGTACCAAGTTATATCTTGGAAAGGAGGCTATTTCCCTGAATAATAAATATTGAGTTTTCTTTTACCATTGAGTAGTTTCACACTTTGGACCAAGAGGGAGCTTTTTAAGTGCATTAGGGCAGTAAAATGTCTGTCACACCTGACAGAATTAACTTTTACTTCCACAAGATGAATAGTTTACTCTTTTCTCATTGGCAGGATTAGCTCCATTAAAGTGAGTCAGAGAACTCATTACTCAAAAAATACTTCATATATTTGTAACTAAATTATACAAACTCTTAACTCCTTAATTTTGCCATGGTCACATTTTAAAATGTATAGTTTTGAAAAATTTATTACCAAATAAATGACTGACTTCTGGTTGACCCATAAACTTCCATTTTTTTTTTACACAAAATTCTTAAGAAAATGAACAATTGGCATTTGTCTCAGTGGAGCAGACAAACAATACAACACCTCTTCTAGAGATCATGGAACACAAAGCCTTATGTGTTGGAAGGCCAAGAGCCTTTAGTCTCTCAAGCAGCAGTCTATCTTTCTGTTATTGTGTAATCCAACTACTTATAGGACGTTATTGCTTTCTTTATTACTGCATTTTCCTAGTAATAGCATTGTATCCTGACTTCTGTGGCTAAACTTTGAGTCCTTAACAATCAGGACTTCTGTCCAACAATGAACTTCCTTTTTTCACATGGTTTTGGGATGTTGTCCTTTACTAGTGAGCACTGCTCAGTGTTAGTGAGGTGCCCAGAGGGCATGAAAGATCTAACTTCGAAAGTTGGTGGAGTGTGAGAATTCTTGAATGGTTGTTGGTGTAGGAGGAAATAATCTACCATCTTGGGGTGTAAGATTGGTTCTGGCAGGGAGAGTCCTTAGAAAGGAGCTCTGTCTGAGGGGCAAGGGACCTAGCTCAGCTGATTACAGTATAATGTCAAAAGGATAGGTTTATATTCTATAATCCACTTTTTCCAAGTGCTACTTGATAATGGTGACTATTAGCCCCAAGCTAGGAAACCAGTCTGGTATGACCCAGTGTTTATTCTAGAGGATCAAGTTTGTATCTCCTTTTGATTTCCTCTTATCTTTAGCAGATATTTTTGGGTTGAAGTTATATCTTTTTTTGGCAAACAGGTAACACTGGAACCACGGAAATCTTTGGCAGCATACCACATCGTCATCATCACAGATGATGTTTATAAAGTACTGACTATGTGCCAGGCACTGTGCTAAGCACTTTACAATTATTATATCATTTAATCCTCACAACAACCCTGGGACATAGGTGCAGTCATTATGTCCATTTTACAGATAAGGAAACTAAAGCAAATAGAGATTAAGTAATGACTTGCCCAAGGTCAATACAGCTAGCAAATGTGTGAGGCTGGATTTGAACTCAGGTGTTCCTAATTTTACTTTTATCAAAGTATACATTGTGTCTCTTGTAGCAAACACCAGGGCATAAATAGTCAGCCCTGCATTTGACACTGTAGTCATAGAGAAGAGATAGGAGTACTCAGATGAATTATTCTTTTCTCTGTGAATATACCTCATGAATGTATGTAATGGTCTTCAGGATGAGACATATTTAAATAAAGATTCCTTCCTTTTTGTGTGTATGTGCTGCCTTCTCCTTCCTTCCTCTTTCTTCACAACAGAGATACTTTCATCTCCCTGAGAGATATATATGTTCCATATATAGAGATATCTAGAATGAAGTCTTGGAGCCAGGTGAAGATGTAGTACATATTCAGTTCTTTGGAATTATGGGGCATGTTTCTTCTTGTCCATATTTGGTGCAAGGAACAAGAAATCTTTATATACTTATATGTAGTGGATATCGGGATTTAATTTTTTTCAGTGAACAAAATCCACTTTATATCTCTCCCACTGGAAAATAAAGAAAAGAAAAAACAAAACCCTTGTAGCAAGTATGCACAGTCTAGCAAAACAAATTCCTGAATTGGTCATGTCAAAAAAAGAAAGTCTCACTTTGTACCTCGAGTCCTGAGTCCTCTGGAATCATGATTGGTCAATTGAGTTGATTAAAGTTCTTAAGTCTTTCTAAGTTATTTTTATGTTACTGTGTACAGTGTTCACCTGGTTCTGCTTCCTTCTTTCTACAACAATTCATACAAGTCTTCCCAAGTTTCTTTGAAGCTATCCTCTTTCTGGGGCAGCTAGGTGGCGCAGCGGATAGAACACCGGCCCTGAAGTCAGGAGTACCTGAGTTCAAACCTGGCCTCAGATCAAACACTTGAACCTTACTAGCTGTGTGACCCTGGGCAAGTCACTTAACCCCAATTGCTTAAAAAAAAAAAGAAAAGAAACTATCCTTTTTCTCACCTACTACCTCTAGGAAAAAATACAAAATGATCTAGCCCTCTCCTACTTTTCCTGTCTTCTTATACTTTGCTCCTTGACACGTATTCTTTGATCCAGTGACACTGGCCTTCTGGCTGTTCCATGAACAAGACACTCCATCTCTTAGCCCTGGGCATTTTCTCAGGTTGTCCCCCATACCTGGAATGCTGTCCCTCCTCTGCTCTGACTACTGATCTACCTAGCTTCCTTTTAAGTCCTGTGTAAAATCCCATTTTCTGCAGGAAGTCTTTCTTAACCCTTCTTAATTCTAGTGCTTTCTCTCTTTTAATTAGTTCTTGTTTATTTTGTATATAGCTTGCTTCATATATATTTGTTTGTATGTTGTCTCCCCCATTAGACTGTAAGCTCTCTGAGGGCAGGGACTGTCTTTTGCCTCTTTTTGTATCTTCAGCCGTTAGTACACTGCCTGGCACATAGTAAGTACTTAAATGTTTATAAAATTGAATTAAATTGAATTAATCATTTCTTACAGCAGGATAGTATTCGCTTGTATTCATATACCATAATTTGTTCAGCCATTCCTCAATTGAGCGATGCTCCCTTAGTTTCCAGTTCTTTTCCACCACAAAAGGAGCTGCCATAAATACTTTTATACTTAAGGGTCCTTTTCCTCTTTTGATCTCTTTGGGTTATAGACCTAGTGGTGGTGTCACTGGGTATAAGAATGCATATCTGAGCAACTTTTGGGGTATAGTTCCAAATTACTTTCCAGAACAGCTAAACTAGTTCATAGCTTCAGCCACAAGGATATTAACATATCTGCTTTTCCTCAGCCCTTCCAGTATTTGCCATTTTCTTTTTTTTGTCAGTTCTACCGATCGGATGGGTATGAGGTGGAGCCTCAGAATTGCTTTGCATTTCTTGATCTCCCGTAATCCTAGTCCCTTCTTCTGTTGATTATCTTCACTTTATATCACCCTGTTGTAGGTCTGTGTCACTTCTTGCCTGGACGATTATTATGCTAGTTTCCTGACTTGTCTGCCTGCCTCTAGTCTCTTCCCTTCTCCCACCTGTCCTTTATGAAGCGACCAGAATAATCTTCCTAAAGCAGAGAGGTCTGGCCATGACATTTCCCTTCTTAAAACCTACAGGAGCTCCTAACTGGTCGTAGTTTATGATACATCTAAGGCATTTAAGACCTTCCACAGCCTTTTTTCCAACCTTCCTTTCCACCATTCTCTCCTGATACACTCCTTCACATTTCCTACGATCCAGCCAAACTAGATTACTAGCTGTTGCACAATCTCCCCCTGAGGGCTGTCATCTTCATATATTTGTACAGGTAGTTCCCTGCGCCTGGAATTCATTCCCACCTCATTCTTGCTATTGAAATCTTCTTCTTGTTCCCCAGTTGATAAATGGTCAAAGGATATGAACAGGCAGTTTTCAGATGAAGAAATCAAAGCTATCTATAGTCACATGAAGTACTTTTGAGTAGAAATTACTTTTGATTAGAAAAATGCAAATTAAAACAATTCTGAGGTACCACCTCATACTTACCAGATGGGCTAATATCACAAAAAAGGAAAATAATAAATGTTGGAAAGGATGTGGGAAAATTGGGACACTAAGGCACTGTTGGTGGAGTTGTGAACTGATCCAGCCATTCTGGAGGGCAATTTGGAGCTATGCCCAAAGAGCAACCACACTGTACATACCCTTTGACCCAACAATACCACTCCTAGGTCTGTATCTTAAAGAGATCTTGAAAAAGGGAAAAGGACCTATATGTACAAAAATATTTTATTTTGTGGTAACAAAAAAATTGGAAATTGAGGTGTGATGCCCATTAGTTGAGAAATGGCTGAACAAGTTGTGGTATATGAATGTAATAGAATACTCTTGTACAATAAGAAATGATGAGCAGCAGATCTCAGAAAAACCTGAAAGACTTGTATGAACTGATGCAGAGTGAAATGAGCAGAACCGGAAAAACATACACAGGAACAGCAAAATTGTGTGATGACCGTCTATGAATGTCGTATCTCTTCTCAGCAATACATTGATCCAAGAGAATTACAAAGACTTAAGATAGAAAATGCTATCCACATCCACATGCTGGAGTCTGAATGCAGATCAAAGCTTACTATTTTTCACTTACCTTATTTTTCTTTGTTTTTCCCTTTTAGGCTGTTTCTTCTTTCACAACTGACTTTTATGGATTTTTATGATTGCACATATATAATCTATGTTAAATTGTTTACCATCTCACAGAGGGGGGAGGGAAGAGGCAGGGGAAAGAGGGAGGGATAAAAACCAGGAACTCAAAATCTTATAAAATGAATGCTAAAAATTGTCTTTACATATAATCGGAAAAAAAATACTATTTAAAAAAAAAAGAAACTTTCCTTCAAGGCCCAATACAGGTACCTATTCTGTGAATCATTCCCTGATCCCTTCCCCATCTCCACTCCCACAGGTGAAAGGGTCTTTTCCTCTGCAAATTTTCCTAAAGATTTTTGAATGTGTCCTTTGCTCTTATCATATTCTATTTTATGCTGTTTGTGTACAAATCATCTCCTCCTAGTAGACTGTAAGCTCCTTGAATGGTTATTGGTTTAGGAGGAGATAATCTACTATCTTGGGGTGTAAAATTGGTTCAGGCAGGGAGGTCCTTAGAAAGAAGCTCTGTCTGAAGGGCAAGAGATCTAACTCAGCTGATTAGAGTAAAATGTCAAAAGGATAGGTTTATGTATTCTATAATCCATTCTTTCCAAATGCTTTTTGATAATAGTGACTGTAAGCCCCAAGCTAGGAAAACAGTCTAGGATGACCCAATGTTTATTCTGGAGGATCAGGTATGTGTCTTGGTTTGATTTCATCTTGTCTTTAGTCTGGATGCTTTTGAGTTGAAGGTAGGTCTTTTTTGGCAAATGGGTGACACTGGAACTGTGGAAATCTTTGGCAGCATACCACATTGTCATTATCACAGATAACCTTTATAAAGTACTTGCTATATGCCAGGCAGTAAGCTAAGCACTTTACAATTGTTATATCATTTAATTGTCACAACCACCCTGGGATATAGATGCAGTCATTACCCCCATTTTACAGATAAGGAAACTAAAGCAAATATGGGGTTGAATGATTTGCCCAAGGCACACAGACACCTTCTCCCTAAACTAGATGGTGTTCAGTGTCCACCATCAGTCACTCCTTTTGCCTTCTTTTCCCCAGTCACCTCCTCTTACCCCTCAGTTGACCTGGAGTTTTAGTAAAGCTTTAGTTATATTCAAATATAGAAATGAACAGTTCTTTTATTCATTCGACAAGAAGCTGTGAGGGAGCACTCATTATGTACCAGGCACAGTGTGCATGCTATGTGCTGGGATACGTTAACAAAAAATGAAATAGTCTTTCTCCTCGAGCATCTTACAGTCTTTTCTCCATCATGATTTAGACGCATGTGGTCTTCTTCATGACCACCTTTAGGGTCTGACTCTACACTCTTCTGCTGGAGAGAGGCTTCCCAGACTCCCCTCCTCCCTCTCTGTCCAGCCTCTTCCAGCCCTATTATTTGTTCAGTTTGTGGGTATGTTTCTTTATACTTGTTAACTTGTTGCTTTGTAATTTTTATGACTGTCCTAGTCTTCTTTGTGATGGAGCATTTATTGTGTAACTCTTTAATCCAATTGTGTCTTATTGTGTATTGTAGCTTACAGGTTTACCTGGACACGTATCTTGTCCACGTAGGAGACTTGTGAACTCCATGAAAGCTAAATTCTGTATCCCCCTCATATGCAGTACAATGTCCTCTACATGGTAGGGGCTTATAACTGTTGGTCTGAGTTGTTCATTTCCTTCCTGCTCTCCATTGAACGCTGGCTGTAGACACAGCTGATTTCCAAGACTGAGGCAAAGTGCCAGACTGAGGGGTTTGCATTTATTTGAAGAGACAAAACTGACAAAGGTGAAACAATGAAAGAGTAAATGAAATGGCAAAGTATGTGGTTTTGAATTTACTTCTAAATAATATCTTTGTAAATTCCATTTTATGTTTAGCTATTAATGTCCTGTTCTGACTTAGCTCTTCTGCTATGCCATCAGGCCACTGAGAGGAAATTGTAGTCATGTGCCCTTTTGAGAACACATAATTCTACACTGTATAATCACTCTGAATTTCATTTTTGAAAATTAAAAATATTTTAACTTACATTTTGTAATTTTTTTCCTTTTCATTTAGGGCTCTGGAACTTCATCCATTTTCAATAAAACCTCTCTTGAGACGAGCAGTAGCATATGAAACCATGGAGCAGTATCGAAAAGCATATGTAGATTATAAAACAATATTGCAGATAGACAACAGAATACAGGCAGCAAATGATAGCATTAACAGGTAAGCTAATTTTTGTTCTTTGCAGAATGGCTAGTATCTTTGTAATTATTGTTATTATTATTGAATTGCTTTTAATTGATTCTCCAGCTAGATTTCACAGAATTTTGGATGTAACAGTCTTTCAAGGAAAGTAAAACAACTTGATGGTTGCTGAGAGTAGTTGAAAACATAAAAATATTACTATTACTACTCCACCTTCTTTTTTCTACATTAATAAAAATCAAAGTCTCTGCCTGGGACTTGGTTACTGACTTTCTTTTAATCTCTTTTAATTTACTTTCCATTTCTGCCGTCTTCACTGATCCTGTATTTTACAATCCATTTCAAAAGTTAAGTCACTGGCGCATCTTTCTTTTTTGGTGGGGAGGGGACACCAAAGAATATATCTCTTTTCTGATTAAATCCTATATGGATATAATCATGAATGCCTTTAAGTATTCCTGTGGTTTCTCATCTAGGTTAATATTTTTTCTCTTTAATGTCTGAAAATCTCACAAATCTTCCCACCGTGACGTGATAGTAGTTATACTATTAGTCAAGTTAACAAGCATTTATTAAATGCCTATTATGTCCCACAAAGAAAGGCAAAAATATGGTCCTTGCCTCAAGGAACTCAAAGGATTATGGGAAAGACAACATGCAAACAACTATGAACATATAAGATATGCATACGGGGTGAAGTAGAGGTTATTTCAGAGAGGAGGAGCTAGCATTAAGAAGGGCTAGGAAAGCTTCTTGTGGAAGGACTTGAACTGAGCCCTGAAGAAAGCCAGGGAAGGGAAGAGGTGCAGGTGAGGAGGGGAAAGGTTGCACGCAGTGGGGACAGCCAGTCACCAGGAAGGAAGCTGGGAGAGGGGTGATCCTATGGAAAGAACTGCAGGAAGGCCAGTGTCCCTGGGTCACATGATACCTGGAGGGAAGTAAAGGGTAAGCAAACTGGAAAGGTAGAAAGGGGCCAGGTGTGAAGGGCTTTACAAGCCAATGGGTGATAGCATCCACTGAAAGAGAAAATATAGGAAGACAGAGATGTGTTAGGAGTTCAGTGACACTTTAAAATTAACTTCCATTTTAGTGACCGCAATAGACTCTTTATACATTTGAAAAAAATAGTAATATGTGTGAGATATTATGTACTCAGTGTGCACCGGGCATGTTTGCTCATTTATTATCAATCCATCAAACAGTAACTTTTATTAAGCATTTACTGTGCGCCAGGCGCTGGCACTGTGCTAAGCAGCGCATTGAGTCATGGTGCATAGTCAGTTGTAACTAAATAAAGATCAAATTTACTTTGCTTGGTGTGCGTGTGTGGACCCCTTACAATAATTCCTTGGCCCATGAGCTGGGAATCACTGACCTGGTTAGGAAAGCAATAATAACCAGATAAGCCTGATTGGATCAGCATCACTAGGTATTCCTGGGAATAGAGTCCTATCTCTCGTCAAAACACCGAATCTTCAGCTTTATTTGCTGTGGCAATAGAAAAGGTATTCATGATTTGCCACTCTCCTGGTACCACATCTACTACAATTATACATGTTTCTCTTCAGAGTTTAATGTATTTATACCAATGACAGTTATCTGCGATTAGTAGCAGTCCCTAATGGTGAAATAGTAAAGAATGTGAATATTTATTTAATAACACATCTGTATTCCTGAGGGAAAATGGACTGTGTAATTTTTTGTTTTTTAATGTGGAGTTCTGGCTAGGCTTTATGAGATTGTTTGGAATGAAAATGATAATATGATCATTTTGTGATATTTCAAATTCTGTCTTTGAGGGATGGTGTCTGGACGTGTGATTTTACCCACATAGGGAACTCTTAGTGTACAAACTCTCCACCCAGGTACATCAATAACTTCTCCATGAGTTATGATCTTAGAGCACTGAGATGTTATGTGATTTGTCCGAGGTCACACAAATCATATGTGACAAAGTCAAGATCTGAACTCAGATGTTCCCGATTCCAATATCAACTCTGTATCCAGGTTACCACAATTTCCTGACCTTATTTAGAATTCTGTTCAATTCAGTAGGTATTCACTGAGTGCCTATTATATGCCATATTATATACCCCACTGTGGGGTATATAAGAGAAGTCTGTGACTTAATCCCTGCTTACAAGGAGTTTACAAGTTAGTTGAGCAGATATTGTAAATGCATTTAATAATTTAGGGAAAATACAAGATACAATGTAATCAGATGCCAAAATGTGGTCTGTGGGGGAAGAGATCATTTTGGGTCAGAGCTGTTGAAAAAGGTTTCATAGAGGAGATAGTTCCTTAAAGGATGACCAGGAATTGTGTAGTCAGAGAGGAGCATACAAGGACTTCTAGGCAGGGGGATCATAAGTAAAAATATAGGAGGGAGGGATGAGTACTAGATGTTTGAAGGACAGGCTGGAGACTAATGTTAAGTCATAGGAAATACAGTCATATCGGTAAGAGAAGGCTACCTTATGGATGTCTTTGAATGCCATGACGCTAAGTTTAGACTCATTTTATTGTCGGCTGTTGGGAAGAGCACTGACCAGGGAAGCCAGAGACCTAATTCTAGGCCTTGCTGTTACTCCCTTTGCTATGTGATCTTGGGTTTGTGATCCTAGTTTCTTCCTCTGATAAGGGAGAAGGAGAGGCTTGGATGACCTTGAAGGTCTTCTCCTGGTCTGTTGATTTTCCAGTAGAGGGCAATTTTATGAGGTTAGTTGCCACAAACCACACCTGATACTTACTTCTCCAAAGTTTTTATTTAGGGAGGACCCATTGACAGTTAACGACATGCCACGCTCCACTCTATTCTGGGTCTTTAGCTATACCTAGTTGCTAATGAACCTCAGATCTGGGGTAAATAAAAAATAACTTCTCCTTATAAAAAGTGGTTAGGGTACTTATTTATTTAGCTTTTTCAGGGTAAAAAGTACCTTGTAGCAGCTCTAGGAGGAGGGTAGGGCTAAAAATTATTAGCCCTCTTTTAGAGAAGAGGAAGTTGAATCTTGGAGATAGTCAGTGACAGAGATGGTAAATGACTTGTCCATGGTCATATGGTTAATAAGAGTTGTCCAGATCCTAGGCTAACACTCACTTCTTCCAACATACCACACTACCAAGTTCTGAAGCAGGAGAGACACATGAGAAAAGTGGTGTTTTAGATTTTGTCAGGCAGTGATGGGCAGGATGGATTAGAGGGGGGATATACAGAGTCACTTTCAATATCTTTACATTTTCCTCCAATATTTATATTTTGATAAGGGCCCCCCTTTTAAAAAAATTTCCCTTTTACTTACCGTTTAGTAAGTCCTGAAGGCTTTATTCTCTTTGCAGCTATATAATTTTTGTAATCCTGTTAGAGGACTTGTCCAGCTTGGCTTATATATAAAGGTGGAAGTATATATGCCCAATTACAGATGAAAATTTTTTTTAACTTTAATATCTATTAATTCCATAACTGTTCGGTTTTTTGCTATAATAAATTTCAGTAAGGGAAAACTGAACATCAGTAGCCTTATTTTTAAAAAAATACATGCTAATTTAATTTTTGTCCTTTTTTAACCGTATTCCTTTCTTCCTCTCTAGGCATCTCTTATGTTTTTAGATTTCCCTGCACATAGCTATTTCCCTGGCAACACATCACCTTTTTTCAGCTGCTTCTTCCTTCTTCTCTGCTGGTAATTCATTTTTTTGCTTGCAAATTCTTTCTCTAAATCTCCTTTTCTACCTGCAATTTGAGATGGTTCTTCCTTTATTTTCCATACTGAAGTACATATGTAAACACAAGTAAATCCAAGACCTCTGATACAGAGACTGACTTGAAGCTGACAGTGAATCCCACTAATTCTCAATAAATCACATTAGTTTCAGGTGGGCAGCAAGTACTGGTACTAAAATATGGTTAGAAATGCATTATTCTGAAACTGGGTACCATGTTGTTTTGTAATCTTAAATGGGAGGAATTCCAGTTTATTTGAAGTAAGCCCAAAGATCTTGATGTTTAAAAGTATGTTAGTATTTTTCTTGTAGTCACTAGTAAATGCCAAATGCAAAGTATGTTATGGGAGTAGTTGGTTGTAATATGTCATTATCTATTCTATCTGCCTTGTAAATGTATAAATAATATAGCTAGAATAATTTGGGGGATTAAAAATACAAGGTAAGAATATCATTAACTATCAAAATGTTTTAAGAGGAAATGAATATTATGTAACATTTATCCCTCTTAACAGTTTTATTATTTTAAACCACTCACTATACAATTAGGATCTAAAACTGTTGGTGTTGATTTGGTTATTTTTAGGAATAACAACTTGGCTAATTTATATAATAATTAAATGTTCAAGGAAACCTTCCCCTAGGTCTACTAAATGCCGGTTTTATAATTCACCTCTTAAGAAGTATACTTTTGAATGTGCCTGTGGCCACATAAGTAATATGTTAGTGAGAAAACATTTTTCTTTTAATAAAAATTATATGAATTTTATTTAATAGTTTAGAACTCACTGCAACATTTTGTGTTTCTGTGTACTTAGATGGCAACAGTGGCTGAAAATAGCTCGGCTTTATATGTTTTGCCCAAAGCAGCATATCAAATGGCATCATAAGCTTACAAAACATCTGTCAATTTTACTGTGGGGTGAAGCCTTATGTAGTATTACAGAAGCAAATTATATGGTCAATGAAAACAACTTTTTTCTCTCTCTCTTTTTTTTAGAATAACAAGAACTTTAATAGATCAAGATGGCCCAACTTGGAGGGAAAAACTGTCACCAATTCCAGCTGTTCCCTTCTCAGTTCAGTTACATAGATTAGATGGAGGAAGTCCTGCAGCACGGCCGACGCAGGACGGAACTACCGAGTCTGGACCCCATCAAAAATCACAGGTCACAGGTATGTAAATCGTGTGTCATTTTAGGACCTCACCCATCCCTCGGTGCAAGGCTCTGTTCTAGGGCAAAGCTGAAACAACACATTTCATTGAAGTGCTGTTCTTTGCTATATTCATGTTGTTACATAAATCCAAAATCAGTCTTTGTATGAGGGGCAACCAGAGGAATGGAAGGTTTGTTTTTTTTTAAATTATGCATATCATAGTATCTATATCTACATGATCATTTAATTATCATCCTTCAAATCAGTTCCCTTAGGAGGCTGAACAGTGATGATGGTGTTGGGCAAAACATTTTTGGAATTCATAAAGATAATAACTAGCATATGTAGGGTGTTTTTAGGTGTGCAGAACACTTTATTATCTGTTATCCCATTTGACATGTACAACAACGCTGTGGAAACTGGGCCTGAAAAAGTTTGAATGCCAGCTAACATTCAACTCAGCCAACAGGTGTCTAAGGTGAGAGTCAAACCCAAGACCTCTCTGACCCAAGTCCAGTGCTCCATCGCCTCTGCCACCTAGCAGCCCATTTTTGGAGCTGCCTTCATGGCCAATTTCCTGATCTTTAGATGGTGGCAGTGTTTTGAGACCCTTCACCATTCTGATCATCTTCCTGCATGTGGTCTCAAGCTTGGCATTGCCCCTTCCACATTTGGGCACCCCGAGTTAGGCATAATCCTCCAGATGTGTCCCAACCAGGGCACGGCACAGCAGAATTCCTCTCTCCTTCTCTTATCGCAGCCGAAGTTTACATGAGCACTTTTGACTCTGACATCATCTTGTTGACTCAGTGGGTTTTCCATCCATTAGATCTCCTAGGTCCTTTTTGACATGAATTACTTCTTCTCCACGGCCACTTTTGTCTCCTGTGTCCCTTGTCCTGACCCTGTGCAGCTGATTTTTGGAATTCAAGGGTAGAACGTTCCATCTGAGGAGCGCTTTGGATTTAATCGTGCTAACGTCCAATTAGCCTTTCCAGATTCTCTTGATCTTTTTTGGATCCCAGTACCGTCACCCACTCTGTTAGGTGTCATCCCTCCCATCTTTGTGTCATTTGTGAACAATAAGCTTGATATTTGTGCTTTCATACCTGTGAACCCCATTAAAAGCTTGAAGAGACAGAATCTCAGTGTCTTCAAGATTCATGTTGATCTCTTAGTTATCACTTTATGGGACTGGTTAGCGAACTAGTTCCAAAACTACTTTAATGTGGGTTTGAACAACCTTTTTTTGTTTGTTTGTTTGTTTTGGCCTTTGTATCCCTAGAGGCTGCCCAGCACAGTGTCTGGCACTGGAGTAAATGTTTGTTGAACTGAGTCACTCTAATTTGTCGAGAAGCATATCAAAATGCAAAGAATAGAAAGAAAGAAAAAAGAAGGCCATTATAACAATTCTTAAAATACCCAGAAGGAAGTTCAGAAGGAAGCGAAGATAAGCAAGATAGTTTTGAAAGTAATATGTGGAATTTATCTTAAGAACTAAGCAGTATGAAATGGAGATTTGTGCTTTGATATGGAATTCCCTTTTTTGTGTTCTGTTATGTGTGAAAGTGCTCTTTTTTTGGTGTTAAGTTCAGAACAAAGTGTTTTTAAAATAATCACTAATATATCATGAAAGTTTGTCATGCTGATGTCCAAATATACTGTTGTCTGTGGCCTGATTTTCTAGTCTGATAACCCTTTCAAAAACAGAAATGAGGGTAACATGGCATGACTTGTTCTTGTGGGACCCATTTTGGCTGTTTGTGATCACCTTCTCCCTTTCTACACAAACCTTCCTTTTAATAATCTTATTTACCAGGAGTCAACGTTACCCTTATTGGTCTGTAGTCTGAAGTATCTACTCTCTTCCCTTTTTTGGAAATCAAGGCAGTATTTTCCTCTCTTCAGTCGTTTCCCATCACGTTAAAGCACTGAATCATAGGGAGTTCACCACTCCTATCTGTAGGTGCTTTCCGCGGTGCGGGGAGGATGTAGTTCATCTGGGCCTGGTGACTTGAACTCATTTCATGCAGCTTAGTACCATCTTACTCGCCTTCCGTATTGGAGTTCAGTCCTCTTAACTTTTTGTAGTTGTTGTTACTACTGTGTCCTCAGTCTAAATATAATTCTTTGGTAGAAAAAACTGGAAAAAAAAATCAAAGTTACAAGGCGTACAAAAATCAGGCTAATTACTTCATAGCCAGAATTTTTTTACCCAAAGTACAATTATCCAGCTTTATCTTATCAAACTTGATTTAACAAATTTGGTTCCAGATTACTCTTGGCTGTTTCCAAAACCAAGGGATAAAGATTTGCTGCTATCAAGGATAGACAAAAGAATGTCTAGGTGCCTACTTTGTGCTAGACGCTGTTGTAATATTTTACAAATATCATCTCATTTGATCTTAGGGGCTATTATTATCCTATGTTATTATTTTACAGATGAGGAAACTGAGGCAGAGGTTAAGTAGAATGCCATGTACAGGGATCAGCAAGTTGACCAAGTTGGTCAGAATGTAAAATGAGTCTGGATAGATGGGTTAGAGCCTTATCTGCCAAGCGAAGTTATTTGTACTTTATCTTAGCGACAGAAGGAGGCAATAGACAGTTGGAAATGCTGGACTGGAGCGAGCGAGCGAGAGAGAGGGAGAGAGAGAGAGAGAGAGAGAGAATACATGGATATATACAATTGGGAGTCCTCTGCTAGAGGTCATTAAGTCTATGGGAGTTGATGAGATCACTAAAAAAGGAGGCCCAAGACAAGAAGCCCATGCATAGACAACAGAACTTAGATAACCCAGCAGAGAATTAAGGATGAGCAGATGGAAAACCAGGAGAAGGTAGCATCAGGAAAATCCCAGAAAGAAAGAGTGTCCACACAGAGGGAGGGGTCAGCAGTGTCCAGTGTTGGAGAGGTATCAAGGAGGGTCAGGACTAATAAAAGTCCATTGAATGGATTAATCAAAAGCTCATTAACAGCTTTGGAAAGAAGAGTTTTATTCAAGTGGCAGGACTGCATAGCTAGGGCTTTAAAAGTGAGTATATAGATAATTTTCCCTGGGAGTTTGGCTATGAAAAGAAGCTTGAGATGATGGCAGTGTCTAGTGAAAGAAATTTTTTTTTTTTTGCTGGAAGAGACTTGGGCTTAGTAGAAGAAGGAGGCAATAGATAAAGTGAGATTTAAGATGAGGAGAGAAGGAGAGAAGGGAAAAAAGGGAGGAAAGGAGGAAGAGAAAAAGAAAAGAGAGAGCACAAGTTCTCAATGAATGATCTCAGTAAAGTGTGAGGTGTGGTCCTTGAAGATCATTGTGAAATGCATTGAACCAGGGCCCTTTTGTACTGGAGGGAAAAGAAATGGATCCCTGCATCAAAAATGTCTGAACCATGGTTTCTAGAAGGATAGGGACTGAACCTATGATGTCATTGGGACAGAGAACTCCTCCCTGCTAAGGAAACTCTACCTATGCAGATCCCCACCTTCTTTGTAATATACTGTCTTACAGAGCATCCTGGAGCGCTGGGGTTTAAAGTGACCTGTCTGGGGTCATACAACATGTATGTGTCAAAAGAGGGACTTGAACCCAGGTCTTCCTGACACTGAGGCTGGCTCTCTGGCTACCACACTATATTGCCTTTTATTTCTAGTAGCTATGCCAAATATATAGTAGAAAGTTAAAATTCATATTGTTCTTTTTTTAAAGTCTAGAGGTTTTTTTGAATACATTTTAAGTTTGTGGGGTCTTCATGAATTCTAATTTTTAAACTTTTTGAATTTTAATAATTTGGATTGTAGGTATGATAGATATGATTTTTTTTTATCTTTCTGGTTAACGAGTAGTGAATGTCCTTCTTGCAGTAGTTGTGCCATTCAGTTCTCTGGCCCCAGGAAGCAAATTACCATTTTATTTATAGCAACTATTTTAAAATTTTGTGACAGGTTCTGAAAAAAGAGTACATTGTACACGAAAGGTGATGTAATTGTCCTAAATTTTAATACTTCAGGTTGTAGGTAAGATAGACAATCTGTGAGTGACATTTAAAATTAAACTTATTAAAGTTTCCCAGTCCTCAAGAACTTGGTTAAGGCCCTGTATTTGAGCATCATCTTGACACTACACCAGATGGTGGAGGGAGATGCGCAAAGCATGGTCCAAACGGTTGCTGTGCCCTAGGGGTATTGCGTTTACAACCATGTCTGGTGTGTGTCACTGACCTTTGCCAGACCTCTCAGTGTTCTCTCTGCCTCTGTCACCCTGAGGTGACTTAGACCTCCCTAAATGCTCAGTGGAGAAAAATTAAGTTGTGCAAACACACCAAGTGAAGTCCACTCTGGTACTTAATCTTGAGAACTCATGCTAGGCTCGACTGCACAATTACTGTACTTTGTCATATCCAGGACTTTTTCCCCCTGTGTAACACTGATACCCACAAGAAGATAGCAACAACATTTTGGTTAACTTGAACTAGGTTTGTAAACATTTCTATCTTAGAGCAACCTGTATGAAAAGATTCCCGTTTTCCTCCCACAAAGGTACAAAACGTGAAGAAATGTTCACAACCCTTAAGGAAGAAGGAAATGAATTTGTAACGAAAGGGAAATATAAAGAAGCTCTTGACAAATACAGTGAATGTTTGGAGATAAATCACAGCGAATGTGTCATCTACACAAACAGGTAAATTTGGGTCTGACCCATCACCTTGGACAGGATTTTTAGTGGGTTAATGCTAACAGCAGATCTCTGTGGAAGAAGTTGCCATTGTTATTTTTTGTGACTTTGGATTTAATAACATGTTCAGTTGTTTTATTCCTGTCCAACTCTTCCTGACCCCATTTGGGGTTTTCTTGGCAAAGATACTGGAGTGGTTTGCCATTTCCCTCTCCAGCTCATTTTACAGATGAGGAAACTGAGGCAAACAAGGTAAAGTGACTTGCCCAGGGTCACACAGCTAGTAAGTGTGTGAGGCCAGATTTGAACTCAGGTCTTCCTGATGTCAAGAATTCACTGCACCGCCTAGCTGCTTCTGTTTAGTAATATAAGTTGTTCGGACTCAGTGTTTCTCCTTTGGGAGTCACAAAGCTTCTGGGGGTTGTTTACCAGGTTCACCAAAATTATTGCTGCTCCTATTAGTAATTCTTCTGTAGTTATCTTTCATACCTCTCTCGTTCTGTTCACTCTAGATGTGTCCTAGGTGAGGCAGAGCACGGTCATTGAGTTTTCTAAGAAGCAAAGTCATGGCAGCTAAAATTGTCATGGAGTGACAGAGAATTTGTTTTGCTTCCCCAGGCCTTTTTAGATGAGTTCTTCAGGTGTAACCGTTCACTGCGTCTGTGTTTTCTTTTTCATCCGTTGACAAGCCAGTAGGCCTCATTATTCAATGACTGTGAAAAAGTGAAGTTTCTAATAATGTACCAGCAGCTCCCACACAGAAGCTTCAGGTCACTGACTTTTGGCTTCTGTTTAGCATTCATGGTTGTGAAGTGTGAAGATATTTGAGTCACTGCCTTTTATGATGCTATGTTCCCTACGTTATTATACCAGGGCTCTTTGTTACTTGAAGTTATGCCAGTTTGAAGAGGCAAAACAGGACTGTGATCGAGCTCTTGAGATAGAAGAGGCTAATGTTAAAGCTTTCTATAGGAGAGGTCTTGCTCACAAAGCACTAAAGGTAAGAAAAGGGGGAAGGAATGTGTATTAAGAGACAGTGTGGCATGGCGGAGAGAGTCAGAGGCCCTGGTTTAGAATGCTGGCCCTACTCTTTGCTGCCATCTCTGTGATCTTTGGAGAGCTGTGGAATTTCCCTCAGCTTCAGCTTCTTCTATAACATGTGGAAGTCAGATGAGATGACATCTGAAGTTCCTTTTAGCTCCAAATTTATGATCCCATGAATGTCCAAACAGAATTATTTCAAAACAAATCAAGTGGCTTCCATTAACAAAAACACGGGAAAGATGAAATAACATAGTTTCTAACAGAGGGGAAAAAGAATTAAATTGTCATTTGACCAACAAGCATTTTGTTAAGTGTCTACTCTGTCTACCCACTGGGGATATAAAAGGAGAGAAAGAAAGAAGGAAGGAGAAAGAGAGGAAGGGAGAAAGAAAGGAGAGTTTACCCTCTGTTTAGGAGATAAACATGTACACATGTAGGTATATAAAAATATATATACAAAATAAATGTAAAGTATTATGATAGCAGGGAAAGTACCAGCAGCATGGAGAATCAGGAAATGCTTAAAGCCTTGAAGGCAACTAAGGCCTCTGAAACCTGGAATTGTGGAGGGACTGCATTCCAGGGATGGGGGACAGCTAGTGCAAAGACATGGAGAGGGAAATGGAGAGTCATGTAGAAGGGACATAAGAAGGCCAGTTGACTGGCCATAAAGTTTATGAAGGGCAGTAATGTACAGTCGGGTTGGAAGGGTCATTTTGGGCCAAATCGTAAAGAGCTCTGATTACCAAACATAGGAGTTTATAGTTAACCTTAGAGATAATCCGTTGCGGTTTACTATGAACTATAAATCCAGAGACTTTGAGTCTACTTCTGCCTCCATATTAACTAGCTTTGGGACCTTGAACTAGGCAGTTTGACATCTCTGTGCTTCATCTATAAAATGGCAGATTTGGATTTAATGATCAGTGCCTTCTAACTCTAATATCCTATGATTTTATACATAGATTTCAGTTTATTATGCTGAGTTAATTCTGATCATACTTAAAGTAAACACAACTAACAAGGGTCAGCAAACCGTTACTGAGGACCACCAACATTACTAAGTAATGTCCATAGGTGCCACTAGTATGACATGAGGTTAAAAGAGAGAGACAGAGACACAGAGAGAGAGAGATCAAAGAGGAGAAAGAAGAGATTGGAAAAGGTCTCTCTTTGGTAGAGAGAGCAGCATGAGCACATCTAAGGCTCTAAGTGGAATGACCAACATAGTTGGGCATATGTTGCTATTCGATGCTGGAAAGGTGAGGTAACAAGTTTGTGGCCCATGCTAAAGTAACATTTAGCTTAAAGGAAAGATGGATTTTTGTTTTATATTTTTTTTCCTTTGCATTCACTCTCTGTGGAAGTTGTGACATTAAAATGTATCTCCCTAAAAATGGAAGGCTGTTATATAACAAACAAAAACTTAGGAACATATCAAAAGATATGTTTTGATGATAGTTCTATTTCAAAATCATTGAAATTGACATTGTTCTCAGAAATTACATTTGCAGAAATTATATGAATTCTCTGAAACTGACAACTCACGTCTTCAGAGTCTGCCACAGAAAGTTTGTGTTTCATGGAGTTTTTTTAATAGTGTTGCTCTCAGTGTCTTGGCTTTTGCCACTTTTTCTTTTTAAACAAATTTCCACCTGAAGGTCTGAGTGAACTTCCTGCTCTTTGTTTTCTGAATGCCACTCACTATATGTATTTGCTTATTTTAAATGATTTGGCATAGCAGAACTATTTAGAACGAATATGTGTGCATGAGGCCTGGTTTAGGTTTCATTTGAAACTTTGGTTTCCTTTATGTTTTCTTCTAAAACTTGCCCATCACCCTTCTTTAAGAATCCTTCACTATGGTCGTGGCCACTGATTTGCATAAATAAAAATCTGACTTTGGTTAAGCTCTCAACTGTTGTTTCTGTCCAGGGCAGAATAATAATCTGAATTTAGAGACTCCAAGATGATAGGGAAGGTAGAACTAAGTTTTTGCTTTCGTTGTGAGAATCACATATAGGTTTTGGTAAGCACAATAGTTAAAATATACTTGGGCAGGTTATAATAATAGAGGTAAACCACCCAAGATGGGAAGTTTGCAGCGAGGGCTGATACTGGGTTGGAGTCTCACCAAAGCTCAGATTTGGTATACTTCTTAAAGGCAGGCATAAAAAGGGCTAGGAGAGGTACAATTACCAGTGAACAATGTGAAAATTAAATAATCTTTACTCTTGTTCCTGCTCCAACCTTTAGCCCCACACTTTGTCACCATCAGGAAAACTCCTCCTTGTTAATATGGATGAGGTACAAGATACCTTTTAAACATATTATTCACATTAATCAGAGGCTGCATGGCTTAGTGGATAGAAAGATGGCTTTGGAGGCAGGAAAACTTGTATTTCTAAGTTTTGCCGCTGACACATACTAGAGCTCTGTGATGGACACATACTAGAGCTCTGTGATGGACACATAGACAAGTCTCATTGCCCCAAAGTGATTCTCTAAGATTCTAAGTTACTGTGGAGTTGCTGCTTATATCTGACCTGTATCCATGGAGCCAGCTACCATAGCTACAGTTCCCAGGACTGAAAAAAATCACAGATATGGCCAAAAAAATAACTTTTATAATAATTTTAAATGCTAAGTGAAGATTTACCTATGTGTGTGTGGGGAGGGGTTGAGGGTAAAGGGGAGGGGTAGTTTTAGAAAAAGAGGCACTTATCTGTTTTGTTAGCTGAAGATGATACAGATGGCATGTTTGGTTTCCTCAGGGAAGGCCATTGCTTGAGAACACTTGAAGAACAGAAATTTGTACTCTCTTAGGATGAATGACTATACATTGTCTTGTTAGTCTTTTCTTAATTTTTTGAGTTATGTGACCATAATGTATTTTTCTGGTTTGACTTCTTATATTCTATCTGCTTAATTTATGGGCTAGAGTGTAACAATAGTGTCTGGGCTATATGAATTTTACTTCAATAACTTCAAAGTTAGCATTTTCTTGGAATTCAAATTTACTTTCTCATAATGGACATAAATGTGTAAATGTCTTGGGTGCTCTAACTTTGGTGTTGGGATTTAGCAGTAGGTGATTTACCTCCTTGACACCAGTTCAATACTTAATTTCCCAAATGGACTGCCCTGTCTCATCCAGTAGACTTAATAATTTTTCCTGGTCCAAGAGCATATGGGCCAGTTCCTCAGAAGCAGGAGGTACATGAACACTTGTCTTTTTTTTTTTTTAGCAAGATAAAAAAGCATCCGAACAATGACTTATTACAAAATAATTATTGCTGTTTTAGCTTTTAGATCGACAGTGTCCCAAAAGTCTTAAGCTTAAAACTGTAATAAGACTTTTGGGACACTGTGTGTGTGTGTGTGTGTGTGTGTGTTACAAATATAATTTCTGAAAACAATATCATTTTAAAAGATCTTTAAATATACATTTACATATTTATGTCCATGAAGAGAAGGGAATTTGAATTCTAAGAAGATGCAGATTTTGAAGTTATTGAAGTTAAATTCATGTAGCTCAGGCAGTATTGTTATATTATATTGTTACATTGTAGCCTATAAATTAGGCACCAGATAGAATTTAAGGAGTCAAACCAAAAAAATGCATATAAATAAATAAATACACATACACACACACACACATGCACACATATACACATATATAGGGGTATACATATAAACAAATACAGAGTGTAAAAAAACTATATGAAAATGCCTTGCATTTGTATCATACTTTTTTTTTTTAAACATATTTCTATGAAATTGCCTGGAAATAGTATCATGGCTTTTATACATTTTTATTTGAGCTCTGAGAGATTTCATAAAGCAAATCTGTTTGTATTATAAACACACACAATTCACTATCAGGTTATACTATGTAACACTTTGGCCCCACACACCTGAATTCAGGAGTCCTTTGAAGTGGAAGATTTACAGCCTTGGGAGCTGGGATGAGGACAGGCCTCTGAACCTCCCACTGAAGTGTATAAAGTTGAATATTACACACAGTTTTCTAACCCATGCCAGTTTTTCTGTGATTTATAAGAAGCATCTCTTCTTCCCTCCCTCCCCCACTTTGACTTGCAGAATTACCAGGAAAGTTTTAATGATCTCAACAAAGTTCTCCTCATAGACCCAAATGTTTCTGAAGCAAAGAAAGAGCTAAAAGAGATAACTGTATTTCTTAATAACAAGGATGACACACCACTACCCAGTCAAGAAAAGGAAAGAAGGAAAATAGAAATTGAAGAGGTATTATAATCGTAAAAGTAACTTTTTGATTATAAAAAAGTGTGGTTTGGGGTGGGTGTGGTGGAAGGGGAAAGGTAATAGTTTCTTCCCAGGCTGAGCTTGGAGGCCCCAGCCTGAACTGATTCACATAGCCCTGCTGATGGTCCAGGAAGCAGACTTGGGATAAACCTAGGTCAGCTCAGACCTCTTTGAAGCTTAACTCTGAACTCATCAGCCCTATATCCCAGCACCTGAAGTTCTGGAACTACCGCAGAACCAAACCAGCCTTCTTTACTTTAGCTAACCTAAAATTCTGTTGCTGCAGTTTAATCCTTTCTAGTCTTCATCTGTCCTTAGTGAAGCATGTGGCAGGAACAGTGGTCTTTATAGAAGTGAGAAGGATGGGGTGGGGGGGGGAGGGTCCCTCAGCATCCCCCACCTTTGTCCCCACAGCCGCCTCCCACCAGCCACTTGGAAAGCTACTGCAGGAGCCTCCAGCATGGCTTCCTGCCTTTACTTCCTACCCCACCTTTATCTGGTTCCGTCTCTTCTCTGTTTAGACATTGTCGGGGCACCTGACTGAAGGTCACACTTTAGGGCCTGGTGTTCCAGGTCCTCCACAGTTTGGTACCGCCAACCTTTCTAGAACTTTTCTCATATTACTCCCTTTCATGCCCTCTTCACCCCAGCCAAACTGGGTAGCTCTACCCCACAAAGAGACCCTTTGTTCTTCCACCTTCATGTTCTTTCCTGTCTTCACATACTAACCTCCAAACTGTTTGGTTTTTTTGTTTTGTTTTGTGTTTTTGTTTTTTTGTTTTTGCTTTTTGGTGATGCAGTCAGAGTTAAGTGACTTGTCCAGGGTCACACGGCTAGTAAGTGTCAAGTGTCTGAGGCCGGAGTTCAACTCAGGTCCTCCTGACTGCAAGGCCAGAGCTCTATCCACTGCACCACCTAGCTGCCCCCTGACCTGTTCTTTAAAACCCAGTTCAAACCCTGTCTCTTCCTGATCTTTCCCTCCTCCCACTTCATGCATGGTATGGGGAGCAGCCTTTCTCCAAGACTTCATATAGCACTTTGTCTTTTTCTTTTACAAAGAGTTTGTCACATAATGTGCATCATAGCTATCAGTGTTTTGTACTTATCCTCCCCATAGACTGTGGGCTCCATGAGGGCAGGAGCAGTCTTGCTAAACTTCATCTCTCTTTCCAGTGCCTAGCACAGTGTTCTGCACAGTTAGGTACCTAATGTGTGGTTTGTCCCTCGTTTTTGAAGAGGACCTTGACATCAGGAAGATGATGCCATGACTTGCAAGTGAATTGGATTTAAGTGAGTGAGGGCCGTGCAAATTCACCAGCCTCACTTTCTCCTCTAGAGCCATCTGGGTCCAGTGGCCTGATATAGACCAGGACAACTGATCTGTGGCCCCTAGGTACCTAATAACTATCTTTGGAATGAATTAACCAAAGAAATGCTTCTCAAAACCATCAAATTAGTCTTGTGATTTATCTTCCAGGAAAAGGAAGGTTGAGAACTTCTTGTCTGATTGCTTTTTCCTAAAGTATTTCAATAGCATCTATCTATCTATCTATCTATCTATCCATCCATATATATATATGCACGTGTTACATATATGTATGTATATATATCTACACATGCACACCACCCCTCTATCAGATCTTACCTGTCATGGCTAGAGCAATAAAGTAAAAGAAGCAGTTGTCCTACTTATCATTAATTTAGTTGTATTCCTAAAGTATCATAAATGTCAACTTTAATAGATTATATTATATTTTGAATGCTCTAAGAAGGGAGCTCATTATTTGAAGGATCTTTTTGCAGAGTCAATGTTGGGAGCAGTGGGCATAGCATAGACTGAGAGTTTTGAGACCCAAGTTCTATTCCATACTAGCTCTGCTGCTGCCTGCCTGTGGGGGACTTTAGGCAAAGGGCTGCAAAATTGAGAGCTTCAACTAGTCTAGGGTCCTTCTACTGATAAAATACATTGGTTCTTATTTTTTTATTGTTGCAAATTCATGTTTCTGTAAAGTATATTTAATTTAAACACTAGTTTGAGAAACACCAGTTGAGCTAATACATGTGGCTGTTAATGTATCATGTTGCTCAATGTCAGAATTAGATTCTTTCTATCATGAAGGTGGTGGAGAGCAGTGAGGAGCAGCCTCAAGGTGGTTCTCCAGAGAATGTCTCAGTTACCTGCCACGATTTGGAGAAAGGGCCAGCAGGCAGCAGGTCTCTGGCAATGGGCTTGGAAAAACTCCGCATCTCAAAACCTGCTAATGCCTATGAATTTGGGCAAATTCTAAATGCCATAAACACAAGGAAGGATGAAGAAGCCTGTGCAGAGCTCTTAGCCATCACAGATCCAAAAGATTTGCCAGCATTGCTGAGTAACAAGCTGGAAGGGGATACTTTCCTCCTCCTCATCTCGTCTCTGAAAAATCACCTTCTTGATAATGATCCCGAATTGGTCTATCAGCATCTTTTACATCTAAGTAAAGCAGAAAGATTTATGGTAAGTGGCTGCCTAATGTCTTCCTCTTTATGCAGACTGATGAATTTTAAAAAGAGAAAGTTCACATTTCAGGATTGGTACTGCTTTGAGCTTTAAAATACCAGCTGACTGTGCTGTTGTTATCATGTAAATTTCTTTATCTTTCAGATGATGTTGACACTGCTTAGCAAAGGACAAAAAGAACAGACTGAACAGCTGTTGGAGGCCCTTTCAGACAAATCAAACCATGCGTTTACTTCAGAGGATGTACAGAACTTGAAAAAGCATTATGAGCTTTAAGCCAAGATTTTTTTTTTTCGAATTTCTGCATCCATGAGTGGGGTCCCAGGAATAGTTCTGGGCTGGGGCTATAAACTGCCTGGGTGGGTGGATAAAGTTTGGTTTTGGAAGGTGCCCTCTTTGTCTGGACTGTTGAAGATTTGAAAACAATTGTGTATGCACATTCTACAATCTGCTGCTCACCCTCTACCTGTATATGTTGTCTTCCCTAGAGACTTAATATCTTTTTATTTAATTAGTTGACTTGATATTGATTCATTTTGAGTGTATTTAAGTGCATTCACCTTTTATAGTTTCCATCTGTCCTTTTAGTCATTCCTTTGGTAAAACACTTGAGCTAAATTTGCATTCTCTTGTACTCAGAAAATGAGACCTTTTAAAGTTTAGTAGAAATGTGTTTACTTAGTTGGCTTTTAAAATTTAATTCCATGAAAATCTGACTACTATGTCATCTTCATTTCTTGCCATAAAATACACAAAGCCCATTTTTATACTGTTAATGGAAAGATGAAATGGACACAGTTAAAGAAATACAGAGTATCCCAAAAGTCTTAGTGCAGACTAAGCTTCAATGAGCACTGACACTTTTTGGGACATCTTGTGCTTTGGTACTATGAAGGCATGTGGTTATGAAAGAAATGGCCCATATTTAGATAAAAACGAAATGTGAATTCTGGATAATCAGGCTTTTCAGGCATATGAAAGAATATTCCTTTACTGTTTCTCAAAGCAGTTATGGGAAGCCATAATTTGCCTTTCTCAAAGAGGTCTGTCTACCGTTGTACATGATTTTTTTTTTCCCATTGGTGTTTGTTGCACACATTATTTCAACAGTCATTTCTTATTTATATCTGACAGCAATTGGTCTTAATTAAAACATTAATATTATGGAAAAGTCCTATAGTTTTGCTTAAAGACCTTAAAAAGCAGGGTACTATGTGCTTATGAAAACGGAAACAGAAGTCATTTTGCAAAAACCACCTGGTCTTACTCTTTTCTTTGACTGGTCTCAACCAAATGTTTGCATTATTTTTCAACCAGATTTTACTACTAGTCACTTAAGTTCCCTTTTCTTTTTGTCTGTAAATCTGACCACATTTGCTTCCTCACTATGAAATTGAAACTAAAGACTTTGAGGCTTATTAGTACTGAAAGTTTCTCTCAGTTGTACCCTAGGATTAAAGGAACAGCATTTCATATAATCTGGGAAGCCAGCTCTCTACCTAGCATAACTGGTGCTGGGAAGACCTCTTAAAGACACTGAGCTCAATTTATTCAGGAAGCAAGATTCTTAGTACTGCATGATATGTCTTCTGTCCCATTTCCTCCTTTTTTTGTTAAGTTCTTTTTTCCTTTTTCTAGGATAGGTGGTAATAAGTAGTGGCCTTAAAAAAAACCCCAATGTTTCTATACTTATGGGCCACCCTAGAATCAATGCAGATTGTAATCCCTCTTCAACTTAGACTGTCTGATTGGCTGAAAAATCCATTACCTGGTGGCCAGCCTTCAAGTAATGAACCTCTCTCTCCAAATGTAGCTTATCTGGTCCTTGGAAAGTACACAGTGGAGCCCATACATTGCCATTTTGTACTGAAGCTGTCTCAGCTTGGTGGGATGTGCTGGAGACTTTACTCCTTTGCCATAATCCTTGTGATCCCAGGATCCCCTTCCACACTGTGGAGAAGTACTATACATGATAGAGTTATATTCAGATATGGTTTGGTTGTCTTTGAAAACGTTGTCACTATGTCCACATATGTATTTTTAGTGGGGGGGGTTTTAAACTGGAATGATAAAAAAGTTTATAGAAAAAAATGTTGTACTGACTTTTTAGCTCTTTTAACCTAGTCGCTGTTCCCAGCTATAGTTTTACTTAAGAACTGCACAAATTAAAAATGTGTTATAAGAAGCACTCTACCTCTAGCTTTTAAAAAAGAACATTTCTTCCTTTGAAATATAAAGTAAAACAGTAAATTATTGACTTATTCGTAGAACTCATTTATTAAAATGGGACCACAGTCACTAAGGTTTTTATTAATTTACCATTTTCTTTATTTAGTAACTTAGAAAAAATTATTTGTGATGCTGTAATTGTAGAGCTGTACAATGCAAGAAAAAGAAAAATGCATGTAAATTGTACCAAAGAACCCGTCTTCTTTAGTGACTGTCAGTTGTGTCTGCTGCTTTCAAGGTAGAAAACTGTACTTCATATGAAATGGTGGCAGATTAGATTAAGGATGCAACTTAAAACATAAAAACATTTTTTAAAAGCACCCAAGACCCTTTATTCTGGTTAGCTTTTATTTTGCAATTTGCTTTTGCTGATGTGCTGCCTGAACAATTCACTGGAGTTCGGCTGCTCTGTATCCTAATTTCTTTAGTCCTAGTGCAGATCTGGCAGTTTGTTTGGGCACAAGTCCAGATTTCACAAGTTGGTAGGGAGCCCAAGCCAGACTGTGGCATGCATAACAATAACAAGGTTTTATCTGAGTATCTCATTTCCATTTGATGCATATTAGTGGTATGAAGATTTGACCTGGTCCTTCTTGAAAGACTTGTTTCTGTCTGTTCCTCAAAGAATGTGATCCTTTTGACGGTGGCTATCTTATACCAATCAGATGAGTCTACATTTTCCTGCAGTAAGCTTTCTTATTATGCAGTTCAGCCAATGTCTGTTAAGTGCCTACTTTGTGTAAAGCACAGTAGAAGAGTGGGGCTTTCTGGTTAATTAAATATTTTGGCTAATTCAATTACCTTGTGGTATTCATGGACTTAAAAACTTTCCAATAATGGTAATAAAATGTACTTATGCTGCTGAACGTAATTTAGTTTTTTATTGTCAGGAAGTGTCTAGGATCTCTCAATCATGAAAATCATTGCAGAAATTGCAAATTCTTTATTGAGAATGCTTATAAAATAGTTTTCTATGCAGAGAAATGGGACTAAGTTTCAAATTTATAAAAGGAAGCTCAGACCCAATTTCAAAATTCTTTAGCCTAAAAATCTAGTCATGTTAATTCCTACTCTTTTTTAAAAATTCAATTTTAAATAAATTATTTGAGCTAACTAAATTCAGTGTAATAATTCACATTTATAGAGTGCTTTGTTGTTTGTAGGCCATATGAAATAAGTGGTGCAAATATTATCATCCCCGTTTTCTTTTTCTTTTTTTCGAAGCAGTTGGGATTAAGTGACTTGCCCAGGGTCACACAGCTAGTAAGTCTCAAGTGTTGTGTCTGAGGCCAGATTTGAACTCAGGTCCTCCTGACTTCAGGGCCGGTGCTCCATCTATTGCGCCACCAAGCTGCCCCTATTTTGTCTTTTTGCCTTTCAGCACCCTGAACAGTGCCTGGCACATGTTGTTATTCAGTTATTCAATTGTGTCTGTCTCTTCATGACCCCATACACCATACCACACCAGTACTGGCCGTGGGGTTTTCTTTGGTAAACGTATTGGAGTCGTTTGCCATTTCTTTTTCCAGTGGATTAAGGAAAACAGGTTAAGTGACTTGCCCAGGGTCACACAGCTAGTAAGAGTCTGAGGCTGGATTTGAACTCATGAAGATGAGGCTTCCTGATTCCATGCCCAGTGCTCTATCCACCATGCCACCTAGCTGCTCCACGTACACTGGAATATTAAAAGAACCAGAAAGGTGTTGATCACATTGGTTAAGTGCTCTAGAAGACTCAAATAGAAACTCTTCCCACGAGACACACATTGAACTTAGAAAACCACAAATTAATATGACCTATATTTTACTTTTACTTATTTTGTGAAATATTTCCCCATTACATTTTGATCTGGTTTGGCCCAACTCAGAAGTTTTGCTGGTCACTGTTATGGCCAGGAGACCTTGAGTTGGACACTTTTTCTCCAAAGGATGGACAGAAAGAAATGGATAGAATGAGAAAGCATGGAGTTGCAATCTCTGTCAATGAAGGAAGTACTAATACTGATGAAATTACAGAGCCATTAAAGTCTCCCAGACCCTTTTATTTCCATTTTCTGTGTCTTTTATAATCTGAGTTGGTCACTGAATTTCTTTTGCAGTTACCTCTGTATTCTATGCTGTATGTTCTGCAGGGATTCCACCTTCCAGCTCTGAATTTCTGCGAATTTCAGAAAAGGAAACCACAGGGAAGAGAATGCAGAGGTAGTAACAGAGAGTAGTGTACTACTTGGAGAGAAATATATATGTGTGTGTATATATATGTGTATGCATAAATACACACACACACACATACAAACACATATACGTGTGTGTGTGTGTGTGTATATCTTTTTCATCAAAAACATCTTTTGTTACATACTCCCAGGAAGTGCTATTTCTGGCAAAGATAAAAGCGCAATTAGGGTTAGGGTATGATATGACTTTAAAAAGGAAAACCATTTAGGAACAGCTAAAAAGAGTAATTATTTTATCCACATGAGGTGCTAGAGGAAGAATAGACACAGAGGAATTAGATGGGGGGAGGAGAGCTGTTAGTTCTGGAAACCTGCTTTCATCAGGAATGAGTTCAAGAGGGAACTATATAAATATATATATATATATATATATATGAGTATAAAAGTCTCCTAGATTCAGAAAGAAATAAAACGCTAAGGGGATTGGGAGGGGGAAGAGTACAAGGGAGGGATCTCTAGAGGGGGGGTGAGGGAATAGGTCAAAGGTGGGTATAGAAGGGTGTTTAGATTTAAGGGAATGGGAGGATAAGGGAGGGATCCTTGGAGGTGGTCTAGGATAAGTAATAGGAGGGCAAGGTAGAGGGTAGAAGTAAAGCAGAGGAGTTGGAGGGATAGAAATAAGAGAGATGAACAGACATAAAAACAAGATCAGAAGTAGAATTTGTTAGGGAAAGTATATGCTTATATGTGCATGTATGTATGTGTATATGTATGTGTATTTATATATCTGTATATAAATATATCCGAGCTTAATTGTAGCCTTCTGGAGGGAGGGTGAGAAAGAGGGGAAAAAGAACAAAGTAAAAAGTGCACAGCAGAGAACAACAAAAACAAAAAACTAACAAGGACACAAAGAAAAAACAGACAACTCCCAACACAATGCATATATATATATATATGTATATATAGGCTTTCTTGAAAGGGAAATTTATTGCTTTATATTTTGAATCCTCTCTTACATTCTGTTGTACACATGACATGCTTTCTTGTTCTTATCATGTATTTAAGTTTCAGTATTTATGTTTCTTTTTCTTTCTTATTGTGTATTTAAGATTCAGTAACAAAAACATGTAAAAAAAAAAAAAGGAAGGTAGGACCATAGTCCTGATGAGGATTTTGATCAACCAGTATCATCAGTTAACTTCAACAGATGGGCAAAAATTTTAGGAGGTCATAGGAGAGCTAGGCAAATTCAATTAAGATGTTCCAGTAGAAACTGGGAAAATGGTTGCACATGTGGCCAAATGTTCATGCTACCCATGAGATATGTGCTTTGTATGATTATGTGTTAATTATTGCATGTTTTGAGTATGTTTTTATTATTTTCTTGGCCCTATGTTCATTTACTTTTGTATTAATATCATGTGTGTATTGTAGCTCCATCAGCCTAGAAGTGGTCTGAGCAGAGCAAAGTACAACAGAAGCTCCTTGTTCCTGGAAGCTATATTTCTCTTAAAGCAGCCCAGATAACATTTGCTTCCTTGGAGGAGGAATGAAATATAACATACTTGGCCTTCAGGCAATAGGGGGCCAAGGTAGTAAATGTTTGTTTGTTTGTTTGTTTGTTTTAATTTTATTTTTAAATTTAAATTTATTTATTTTTAGTTTTCAACATTCACTTTCATAAGATTTTGAGTTTTAAATTTTCTCCTTCTCCCATTTCTCCACCCCTTCCAATCCTGAGATGGCATACAATCTGAGATAGACTCTACATATACATTCATGTTAATTATGTTTTCCCATTAGTCATGATGTAAAGAACAATTAGAAGTAATGGGAGGAACCACCAGAATGAAGCAATAAAACAAAACAACAAAGGAAAAGGAGAGCAAATAGTATGCTTCTATCTGCATTTAGACTCCATATTTCTTTTTCTGGTTGTGGACAGCATTTTCCATGATGAGTCTTTGGAGCTTAGATCCTTGCATTGCTGGGAAGAGCCAAGTCTATCAAAATCAGTCATCCCATAATGTGGCTGTTACTATGTACAGTGTTCTCCTGGTTCTGCTCATTTCATTCTGCGTCAGTTTATGTAAGTCCAAGGGTTTTTTTTTTTTCTGCCTGCTCATTATTCTGATAGCACAACAGTATTCCATTACATTCATATACCACAGCTTGTTCAGCCATTCCCCAAATGATGGGCACTCCTTCAATTTCCCACATCTTCTCCAACATTTATCGACAAAGGAGATTTTAAAATTTTGTTTTAGAAGTTGCAGAGAAGGTACTGCCCTGCATTGGTAGAGTATTTCCTCATCTGGGAGTTCCCTGTTTTAATGTAAACTTTGGTATGATCATAAAATGATAAGCTTGATAAATCTTCCCTGACTCTCAAGCAACAGATACAGTTCAAAGGTATCTATGAACCCTCTCCAGTTTTATAAGACAGCTGGAGCCATTTATGAAACCAATCTATATAGAGCAGCATGTCATACAAGGTAGGATCATATGCTGGAAGAGATCTCGGTCATCATCTCTAACACCCAACTTTCACTCCCCCTTTTTTTTCCTGCTTTTTGGTGATGCAGTTGGGGTTAAGTGGCTTGCCTAGGGTCACACAGCTAGTAAGTGTCACGTGTCTGAGGCCGCATTTGAACTCAGGTCCTCCTGACTCCAAGACCAGAGCTCTATCCACCACACCACCTAGCTGCCCTTCCCACTCACATTTTACAGATGAGGATGATGAGGCTCTAAGTGACACAGCTAGTAAGTATTGTTTTGTTGTTCAATCATTTCATTCCTGTCCAACTCTTTGTGACTCTTTTTGGGGTTTTCTTGGCAAAGATACTGGAGTGGTTTAGTATTTCCTTCTCCAGCTCATTTTATAGATGAGGAAACTGAGGCAGAGTTAAGTGACTTGCCCTGAGTCACATAGCTAGTAAATGCCTGAGGCCACACTTGAACTCAGTTCTTCCTGATTCCAGGCTCAGAACTCTATCCACTAAGCCACCTAGCTGGTAAAACTAACTCCAAGTCCAGTGCTCTATCCAATATTTCCATGGTGCCTCCCAATCATTGGGTAGAAGTCAGAAGGCCTGAAATCTAGTCTCAGATCTGCCACTTACCATTTCTGTAACTTTGGGCGAATTGGGCAAGCCTCCAACCCTCAGGTCTTTATCAATGAATCAGTGGGCTGAATTAAATAATCTCTGGGCAAAGGCAGCATAAGGATAGTAGAGAGCTGGACCTGGAATTTTAAAAAACCTGGGTTTAAATCCTATCTCTGATAACATCTGTGTGTCACAACTTCTCAGAACCTCAATTTCTTAATCTGTAAAACAGAGATTATAACACTTGTAGTTACTAACCTCTCAGGTAGTTGTGAGATTCAAATGAAGTAATAGAAAAAGGTTTGCAAACCTTAAATTGCATAAGCGTCCACTATTTTGCCTAACTCACAGGATTGTTATAAGAAAAATATTTTGTAAACCTGCCGTCCCTATTTCTGTGAAGGTCTATTATTATTATTGATATAATTCCTAAGGAAATTTTCACTTGAAAATTCTGTTTAAACTATTTTATTTTCAATCTAAGTACCCTACTTCCTTAAACCTAGATTATGTTTTCTTGGAATTTGGACAAATTCAATTATGTAAGCTCAGTTGGAACAATCACTCACTTAGACCATGCCAG